CGACTAGGTAGCATCATCAATGCGAGTGAGTGTAGGGTTTGCTCTCTCTTTATATGCAATAGCTTGCCCTGCCAGTGTTGGTGGGGGTGTGGTTTTCTCCTTGGTAGTTCCTTGATTGGGGTCTTGTTTTCTGCTTGATTGTTTGACTGGTGTTAACTCCTGCTTATCTGAGTGTAGCTTGCTGGAGATGATGCATTCTGGTCTTTTTGTTTTCTTCTTAGCTTTCTTATTGTCTCTTTTGAATGATGTGTAAATATGGTTTATTTCTGTGTAGCTGTTGATGGCTGATTTGTCTGAATGTCAAGCTTCCAGGAATTCCCTAGCATTTTTGCATTTAGCTTGGTCTAGGAAGCTCACAGTTTCCCAGCTGAAACTATGATTGAATCTGTCCATGTGTTGTGAGATTAAGGAGTTTTCATCGTGTCTTCTGGCTGCTAGCTGGTGTTCATGGATGCTCTCTGAACCATAGTTTCAACTGGGAAACTCTGACCATTCTACACCAAGCTAAATAAAAAAAACCCATCAATAGATACATAGAGATAAACCACATTTACACATCGTTCAAAAGAGACAATAAAAAAGCTAAGAAGGAAACAAAAAGACCAGAACGCGTCCTCTCCGGCAGCCTACAGCCGGATAAACAGAGATTAACACTAGTCAAGCAATCAAGCAGAAAACAAGACCCCAATCAAGGAACTACCGTGGAGAAAAACACACCCCCACCAACAGTGACAGGGCCAGCTACTGTACACAAACAGGGGGCAAACCCCACACTCACTAGCACTGATGATGTTACCTAGTCAGGTAATGAAACATCTGCAAGCAAACAACCAAGCTCAGAGAGCACCAAGGACTCCACAGTTCAACCCTGAGCTACAGATAGTCCCTTCTATTGAAACAACAGCTTTTTAAGCACACTGGATGTTAAGTGGTATGTTAAACCTTTTTCTTAGGATGTAATTTTCATATTAGTTGGCGCATGTTTATTATATTTTCTGTTGTTGCACTGTTGGTACTCAACTAAAATACTTCTTTAAAAAAACATAGATTAAATATATTCCAAAAACTCCATGAAGGTATTCCATGAAAGATATAAAGTGTGACTGTCAGCAATGAAGAGGTTCCTTTGGAATTCAGCAACTGATAATGATACATTGAAACAAAACAGTTTGTATTAATAGCAAAAAGAACAAGTATTCTTAACTAATATATAAACCTCTACATCAAGTAGTATCCCTACAGTTAGGTAGCCAGATTGGAGAATTCTACAATTGTTTTTTGTATTTAACAATACTTTGAGCTTCTAAATCTGTGCTGGTTCCCCAAATTTGTTCACTTTGCATTTTTTCCCCCCATATTTTAAGGCCTCCAGGTCACAACATTATCGTGAATGGCAAGGAATGCATAAACTTTGCATCATTTAATTTTCTTGGGCTTTTGGAAAATGAAAGGCTTAAAGTAAGTGCCTCCATAGATGTCACAATGTAGCCTTTGTGTTAAAAGAACTATTTGAATGACCCATGGATGCTTATGATAATTTAGAATGTAATTGTGATTTTAGTATTCCTCCTTCTTCTCTTTGGAAAAAATGTGTTGATTTCTCTTAGTATTACAGTGGGGCAAAAAAGTATTTAGTCAGCCACCAATTGTGCAAGTTCTCCCACTTAAAAAGATGAGAGAGGCCTGTA